GGAGAGCAGAATAACTCGAAAAATATGAGTCTTAGAAAAATGCGAAATACTGGGTTTTTATGATTTTTTCCTGGCTATCTGACGGTGATCTTGGATTTGACCTTGACAATGACCTTGAAGGTCATTTCAAGGTCATGTCAATTTTTTTAAATAGGACCCCATACTTTTGACCCCAGAAATGAAAAGAGCGGAAAATTATACGTTCGGGTCATTGAACACTGCCACGTTTGACCTCTGAAGGTCACATAAAGGTCTAAGCTTGTTTTAGGCTGAAAACGCGAATATCTTCGAAAATGCACTTGCTAGGGAGCAATGTTACGCATAAGAATAAGAATGTAGAGGTCAACGAGGGACATTCAGCCGTGACCTTGCCCTTATTCTCCAGGTCATGAGTTAAGATTATTATTAAGGTCAAACCGGACTTTTTTAGGGCTGAAAATCCATACTTTTGACCTAAAAGTGTCAAGATTGAAAATTTTTACGTTCGGATATGATGTTTTCAACCTTGACCTTGTTCTCAAAATTATGCGCTTTACGTTACTTCACTGATCGTGAAGTCTACTGAAAGTAAAGCGTCTCGGAACCCGAGCACTGAAGGCAAGGTGTCTCAAACCCGACCACTGAAGGCAAGGTTCAGTTAGTCTCGGCCACCGAAGGCAAAGCATCTTGTAATTCGGCCTGAGATTACAAGAGATGTTCAAAATGTTCCCCATTGACCGTTTGACAGTGTGCTAAGCGGACATACAAATTGTCAGTCGCACTCTTTATCATTTCTGGAGATATTGCAGCATATTCTATCTACGATAAGGTTATTGTCAAGCAGCAGACGAAAGACAATTTGAACACTTAATTCAATACCGTCTACATACACAAGCGCACGCGCGCGTGCGCGCACACACATACACACACACACACACACACATAGGGGGTGTAAAGTCCGATCATGCAACCTCCACGCGGTACATCCTGAATAATACTAATGCTGGCGGCACCGTAAATTCTAAACCTCATAACTCAGACAATTCTCAACAAAAATAGGTCATCAAGTAGTGTTTTAGAAACGGCACGTTGTCATCTTTAACACTGTGTGATAAAAAATTGGATGTTCCGTTTAAAAAAATCATGTTGGCATTGACTTCGCCTTGACTCCTCTACTCAAGGTCAACCGGATATGATCATTCAATAGAACGTTTAAAACCCTACAACATTAATTGGAAACATTTTTTTTTACTGTTTCGTTTTCGAAGTATTTGACCGTTTCCAGACTTTTCTAACTAAAGTGATATGGTCCATTATCGATGATTTTATTAAAAAATTTTTCGAACGAAAGTGGCATGGCTTGAAGGACGACACATAACGGAAATGTGGACTTGACCTTGAGTGACCTTGTTAAAATTAGGCCAAAGTCATTAATGTTTTTTTAAATAGAAACTACAATTTTTTATTACATATTCTTGTAACTTATCTCGAGAGCTTTCCAAAACACTCTAACAAAGTAACATTTCATCGAGTACATTCCGAGTTATGAGGCTTGGAACTTAAGGCAAGACCGATCACTGATCCGACCAATTAAGGCAAGATCAATTCGAATATGTCTTTAGACTCTAATAAATCTTGGCCTCAGAAGTACGAAATAAAACCTCCTTGCTTTTATTACAATATCCTGTAAGTTACCAAATATTCTTCACACATACAAACATAGTATTATTATATTTTTATTGAGTAGTGCACTGGACAACTATGACATTGTTCTGAGAGTTTTCTCATTTAGAGCGACGAAACAAATATATTTTATGAATTTTTTTTCGCGCAGATAGGAAATTTCACGGATGTAATTGTTTTTGGAGATTATTTAATACTGTATGAAAAATATTTATTAACTTACAGGATATTGTAATAAAAGCAAAGAGGTTTCATTTCGTACTTCTTGATTCTGTTACAATATTCTTTTATATTTCATACTACATCCTTGTATAAGTTAAAATTATTCTTAAAATATTATTAAACAGTCCGATAATCAAACCTATGAACCTGCCCGCAACGACTCCGCAAAATAATTAATAAAATATATTCCATTTTCTTGGCGCCGAATATTATTAATACTATTACAAATAATATTACAAATGATATAAATTTTTACAAATAATAAAATTTGTATTATTTGTAACATTATTATACAATTACAAATAAAATTATAATAAAATAATAATATCACAAATAATATATATTACAAATAATAATATTATTAATAATAAAATATTATTTGTAATAATTTCGGTGCGCCGAGTAGACAAAACGTTTCAGTATTGTCATAGAGAGGAAAGGAGAGAGAGAGACAGTCGCGCTCGCGATTCAGATTATGGGTAAGAAAGAATTAGGCTCGCTCGCTGGGCGAGAACGAGAGCGACAAGGAGGGAATGATATATTCTCTCTCTCTCTCTCCCCCCTCTCTCTCCCTTTCTCACCCTCTCTCTCCCTCTCTCCCTCTCTCTCCCTCTCTCTCTCCTTCTCCCCCTCTCTCTACCTCTCTCTCCCTCTCTCTCTCCTTCTCTCCCTCTCCCTCTCACCCTCTCACCCTCTCCCTCTCGCCCCTCCCCGCCCCTCTCCCCTCCCCCTCTCCTATCTCCCCCTCCCCCTCTCCGCCCCCCCCCTATCCCCCCTCCCCCTCTCCCGATCTCCCTCTCTCCCCCTTTCCCTCTCACCCTCTCTCCCTCTCTCTCTCTCTCTCCTCTCTCTCCTCTCTCTCTCTCTCTCTCTCTCTCTCTCTCTCTCTCTCTCTCTCTCTCTCTCTCTCTCTCTCTCTCGCTCGCTCGGCGCATCGATAATTGCCGATCACGTGGCTCACATGGATTGACCGAGCTGGCTGTGTACGTGCATGGGGGTGGGGAGAATCCTCGTGCAAGCCCGTCACCAAATTCGCATCACTGATACCAATGATGTCCAAACCGAACAAGCTGCGGGTAAGCGTAACTTGTAAATACCGGAGATCAATTGTTTATCAGCTCATAGACAATTAATATGACGAGATACCCGCGAAGAACCGTGTACTTCTCTTTCGTCTTTGCGTACAATTGCGATCAATACAAAATTTTCACGAATTGTTCGGTTTGGCATCATTGGTATACGTGTGTACGTATGTGTATGTGTACACGTACAATTGCGATATACACTACTTATATATCATATACTTATCATGTTACCATTATTATATTATATATTATTATCATATATTTATCATGTTGCCATTGATCATTTTTATTCATGCTAATAGAAATAAGTATGATTATGTAAAGAATTTGTCTGCGTATTATTATACATTCTACATAGTTCTCCCTGTGATAGTAAAAATAACACACTTGAACAACCTCTACGCTCATATCAAAGCCTGATCCACTGCGCTACTGAAGTAAATTGGTAATTCTTCTGCTATAACGACATTAACAGAAAAGACTAAACTTCAAACTGCATTTCTCAAAAACGTTTAAGATTTGCACCGTGTTTGGATAGCATTTGTTATTATTACATCAATATTATACTTTTCTAAAAGCAAAATCGCGCGGTGATTTCAAGGATGAAGATTCCTCTTGTGTGAGATAATAATTATTCATTCTTTATTAATGGGAAAAGATTTTCCTTTAGTTTAAATGTTCAAGAAAGTTATTTGTTCTCTGAGAATCTTTCAATTTTTACGTTCGTGAAAAGTTTATAAAATTCGTAAAGACAGAAAATTATTTTACTACCTACCTGTTCAAGAGTTGCGCATAAGAAATATTTTAACAAATCTGAATCTGAATCAGTCAACAAATTAAATTTCTCATTCAAAGAAGCATATGTAGGGTAAGCATAAGTAAGATAAGTATAAATAATAAATTAAATATTATTCTCTGAATATAATAATAAATAAATGTTTTTTTCTTTAGCTGAATCATCGATGTAAATATTCTGTTATAAATTGACTTTTCGGATTACAATATTAATTTGATTTTTTAGAGTACGCTTTCAAATTGACTCTTCGGAATACGCTATTTAATTGACTTTTCGCAGTACACTTTTAAATTGTCTCTTCTGACTTCACATTTGTTAGTTGACTCTGTGGAGTACATATTTTTTAATTAACTCTTCGGAGATAAGAGGAGAGAAACATTTTATATTTTATTTAAAAAATCTTAATTTTTGCAGAAAACTGATTGATGAAGAAAGAAATTAATTCACGACCTCAACGAAGATCTTAAAATAATTACTGCAAGAAATGAAGTTGTTGTTATTATATACCATATTGTACAATATTAAAACATACGCGCAATAATTATCTATAATTTGCATATATGGGCGTTTATGTAATTATAAGTAATATATTGTAATTATAAATAATATAATAATAAAAGTCATGACAAATTAATGTGGCCGCGCGTTATCTCTGTCGCGTCATTGCTAGAAATCGTCCGAACTTTCGAAATTATTTTCTTCCCGAATTATGAATATAAAACAATGTGGAAAGGAAAATAAGGGGGTGAAAGGGGAGACGGCGACGCCTGCCTTATGATAACATCGTTGCTGGCTCGCTTCGTCGCGATTGTCTATTCGCTGGTGATGAGACAAAGACCGATTCTTCGTTTTTATCTAACTAATCTCACTCGCTCGTGAACATAGTACAGAACAGAACCAAATAATTATGGACATAGCACGGAATAGTACCAACAAATCGTGGACATTGGCTTAGTAGTTCATGTCCATGAAAAATGGACCCAGTTGGCGCTTCGAATCAGCCAACTTTTCCATAAGGCTGTAAATGCAGCCATGCCCACTCTCAGGCTTCTCTCTGCGTAGGTTTTCTCACTTCAACTTGTTGTACCAGTTCAGTAGTGCAGACAAAACGAACAGGCCAATTGTGTTTGCTGGGATGATTCCTCTTGATGACATATATATAATTTTTACTATATTCTGTGTAGTAGCTCAGATATGAACCAAACTATCACAGACACACCTCGTTACCAAGCGACATCGACGTAGTTGGCGTGTATTTTCTCAGGAAGCGCGTCGAATCCATAAAAATTTCTGAACCTTCGCTGATGGCCGCTCTCAAGTTTCTCTCTACTTAAAGTGAGACAAATATAGGTTTTCCCACTCTAGCTTATTGCACCAGTTCAGCAGTGCAGCTACAAAGAACAGATTACATATATCCAAGAAATCTAACCGAGATTTAGCATCGTGGACATAAGGTTTAAAGAGTAGAACTTTAGTATAAAAAAATAAGAGCCAAATGTAATGGGTTCCTTGCAAATGATTATGCAAGTTGGTAAAGTTGGTATGATATTTATTTAGTACAGTGTTTATATAAACTCGCATATTAACTCGTCTTAAAATTATCTGTTTGAACTAGTTGCTTTTATTACATTTAGAATAAATAATGTTATCAAAGGTATTATTTCAATGTTAGAAGTTTTTTTAATGTAAAATATATCCTGACATTGCTACTGCTATATATACACACATATATATATACATATATATAAAAATATATATATTGTCATATATTATGTAATTCTTATCATTTATTGAATATCGAATAAGGAAAGATACTACATTAGCAAAAATCAAAATGTAATCATAGTATATTTTCAATAACTATTTGCTTTATTCTTAGTTACTTTTGCATTCATTCATTCATTATATTTGTCTTATATTTCCAGATTATTGTTAATAATATAGATATATTGGTATAATTTTTGTATCTTATTTTTATAATTTTTATTTGAACTGTTATTTCACAACAATGATTTCATAATAATTGTATATTTTACAGGATTTCTATGAAAGCTTAGTATTATATATTTATATCTTACATAAAGCATCAATCTCATTTCTGAAACTTTGAATGTTTTAGCTCCGAGAATTGCTAGAATTATTCCAAACAGTATAACTACATGTTTAAATCGAAATAAATATTATTATGTAAATGAAGAAAAAGACAAAACTTGGTCAGATATTATAGACGCTGCGAATACACATATGTTTATGCTGGAAATTTTCCGAGGATTAGGGGTTGCTGTATCTCACATGTTTAGAGAACCAGCAACTATAAACTATCCTTTTGAAAAAGGACCTCTCAGCCCAAGGTTTAGGGGAGAACATGCACTAAGAAGGTATTTTTATATAATGAATAATATAGTAGGTACTTTATATATACTTTATATATGAATAATGAATACACTTTATATATAAATATATAGAATCATATCTGTATTTTTTATTTTGCTATTAATATTTATATATACACAAATAATAAAAAAAAGAAAATACAAGAAATTGAATATTTCAACATATTAATATTAAATTGATAATGTTAAATTTTTTCATTATAGGTATCCTTCTGGAGAAGAAAGATGTATTGCTTGTAAATTATGTGAAGCAATATGTCCTGCGCAAGCTATTACAATTGAAGCAGAGGAAAGAATAGATGGATCACGACGTACCACAAGATATGACATTGATATGTCTAAATGTATTTATTGTGGTTTTTGTCAAGAAGCTTGTCCTGTTGATGCTATTGTTGAGGTATATAGATTTTCTCATTAATAATAAGTCTAAATAAAAATAATTGTTTTAAACACCAAAATGAAACTAGCCATTTCCTATTATTTTTGGATACTGAATACGAATCCGGTCTTCAAATTGCTCTATTAGAATTTTGGGAAATTTGTAGTTAAGTTGCAAAAAAAGCTATTTTCACATATTTTGCCACATTATAACTACAAAATACGCAATGTGCTGGAGGAGTTTTATTGCAATAAAAACTAAGTATGTTTTAAGACTTTCAGTCCTCGAAAGAAAATTGTGTTGACCATATATCATATGAAAATAGCCTTTTTTGTAACTTTAACTACAAATTTCTTAAAATTATGATGTGATGGAGCAATTTAGAAATTAGATTCATATTCAGAAGTGACCAGAAGCATCCAAGAAGTGACAGGAAATAATTAATTTTGTTCTGGCGTTTTTTTGTTTGCTTAAGCAATGCAATAAATTAACATGTTTGTCTGCTATATGTGTATGCATATGTGTGCATATATAAATACATACTGTGGATACACATTTATTTACAAATATTAAAAAGAAATATTATTTTAGGGCCCAAATTTTGAATTTTCAACTGAAACTCATGAGGAAATGTTATATAATAAAGAAAAGCTTTTGAATAATGGAGATAAATGGGAATCTGAAATTGCTAGTAATATTCATGCTGATCATTTGTATCGGTAAAAACTGTGTTGTAATGTAGTCATGATTAATATTCCATATAAACAGATATTGTATAATAATATAAAAGTATAATAGTATGATAGTATAAAAATGTTATTGTCATATATGTGAATCATATATATGTGAATACATAAAATTCAAATAATATAAATGCATTGTAAAAGTTATCATGATTGCATATATTAAAGGTTTGTAAAAATTCGTTAGGTTTTTATATTTTCGTTAGTCATATTTTATTAATAATAGTAATGGAACATAACATCTTCAGTAAAATTATCATCCATTATTACATTGTTATTTATATTAATTATTTTCTGTTCTGCTGCTTTTCAGGTAATTATTTAATTTTACATTTATAAAATGACCCAGTCAATGTGATCATCAACAATCCAATGAAATTTTGCAAACTTTTAATAGTTCAATGATTTTCCAAGGAATACCTCAGAGGAAAAAATATATTTATGAATTAAATATTTCTTAATGGAATTAACTGCTACAAATATATTTAATATTATTTTATTATCTTATTTATTACAGCACAAATGACTATAAGGTTACTAATATTTAACAACAAAATAATAGCGTAAGCATATTTTATATTTTGTACATAAGTACATTCATAGTATCCGAAAAATATTACAAGGGAATTTTGTGTGTATGCACATATACATACATAAACACAATTCAATAAAATTATCTATTGTTATTATTTACTTTTCGCTACTTTTCAGATAATTGTTTATTTTAAGGCCCCTAGACCCTCGCCGCAGCCATGTTGGAATTGTGACGTCAGAAGCAAAAACGCTGAGAATTCTTGCGTGCCATTTCAAGATAAAATGATATTTCTCCAAAACAAGACACGAAATGGCTTCAGCACACTTGTAGAAAGTTCGGAGTTCTCCCCTTTTGCTTTAACTGTTAACACTGAGCCGTAAAATGGGCTGTGAAAAGAGGCCTATTCACGAGAGAAAACGCGTGGTCGAACAGCTGATCGAACGAGTGTAAATTATGCCCCCACATATCGTATTTCACGAAAGACTGAAAACTCTGAATTTCTTACAAATCTTCTTGAATAGGTAAATATATAAATATATATTGAATAGGTAAATACATAGAAAAGGATGCACCTAACCGATATTTTTCATTTTGAAATATTAGGTTGGGGAAAAAGAAATCCATTATTTTTTCGTTTATTTCAAGGCTTTATTTAACATAGTTAGGATTGTTCGATTTTGATCAAATAAGCACCGTTTTGTTCTACAATTTGTCGCCATTTTAAAGGTAATTTCATGATCCCTCTTTCATAGAAGCTCTGGTCCTTATTTGCAAAAAACTCGACTAAACGATTTTCACAGGAGGTCAATTTCTTACCATCAAGGAAGTTTTGCAATGACAAAAACACATGGTAATCACTTGATGCCAGGTCCGGACTATAAGGTGGATGCATCAAAACTTCCCAACCAAGCTCCCGGAGTTTCTGACGAGTCACTATAGACATATGTGGCCTGGCATTGTCCTGATGAAAAACAATTCCTCTCGTATTAACCAATTCTGGCCGCTTCTGATCGATCGCTAGCTTCAAACGGTCCAATTGTTGACAACAGAGGTCCAAATTTAGTGTTTGGCCATATGAAAGCAGCTCATGGTGGATGATTTCTTTATAGTTCCACCAAACACTCAGTAAAACCTTCCTGGCCATTAATCCTGGTTTGGCCACCGTTTGAGCCGTTTCGCTGCGCTTTGACCACGATTGTTTTCGCACAATATTGTCGTATGTAATCCATTTCTCATCCCCAGTCACCATCCGTTTCAGAAATGGCTTGATTTCGTTCCGTTTGGTCAAGGCTTCGCAGATTGAAATTCGGTCCATCATGTTTTTTTGCGTCAATTCGTGTGATACCCAAACATCGAGCTTTTTTTGAATCCAGCTTTATGCAAATGGTTTAAAACTGTTTTGTGGTCGATCTTCAGCTCCTGGGCTATATTACGACTGCTAACATGCCGGTCTACTTCGATCATTTCCATAATTTTATTGACATTTTCGACAACAGGCCTACCTGTGCGAGATGCATCTTTAACATCAAAATTACCGGAACAGAATTGACGAAACCAAAATTGCACGTGATTGGCTATGACAGTATCGGGACCATAAACACCATTCACAATTTCAGCCGCCTGGCTTACATTTTCGCCTTTATCGAAGCAAAATTGTAAAATGTACCGAATTTTCTCTTTGTTGACGTATATCTTTTACGTGCTATAACTCACAACTTAATCGACAAATCACAAAACCGTTAAAGAATTTTTTTAGTACGGAATGTCACTTTTCCAACGAGTATAAATATTAACCTATGCGATTAATACATCACGTGATATATACCACTAAAGCCATCTAGCGGAAAAATGGGTTTCTTTTTCCCCAACCTAATATGTTGTAAAGGATGAAATTCTGAGTGACTTTTCCTAATACAATTATATGGGGGTTGCATATAGTTTCTGAGATATTTGACTTTTAAGTTTTATAATTGTACGTTGAAGTATATTTAAAGTAGACAAGCAGTCTATTGACAAGTTTCATTCACTTTAAATATAGGAAACAGTACATATAAGCGGAAGAGGGGCTCTGCCCCTCCCTTTTTTTTTCTTTTTTGGTCATGCAGGGGAAATCCTCGAGTTCTGGTTTTATCTTAGGGGGAGGGGACATCCGCCCTCCCCCTGCACCCCCATTACTCCCCCTCTAGGAGGAAGGATAGAGGAGTGGAATCATCCCCAACTGGACATCCACTCCCCTGTTTCCCTGACCCTACCGACGCACGGGGAGGGCGCCCCCCGCACCCCCTCCCCGAAAATATCCTAACCTAACTTATTGCATCTTTATATTGGGTCTGGGAAAAAGTTCGTGGCGTTTTTTTAGTAAAATTCAACTGGTTTTATTATAATGTGAAAATGAATTTATTTAAATCAAATGTGCTCTATTATTATCAACAATATTTCGCCATTTTTCGCCGGGTAGCCATGATGCCATCGGTGAAGAACTGTGGTTTCTGGTTGAAAAACTGAATCAAGTGCTTTTCACAGGCTTCTTTTGAAACCAGCTTAATTCCATTGAGAGAGTTCTGCAGAGATCGGAACAAGTGGTAGTCAGAGGGTGCTATGTCTGGACTATACGGTGGATGCATCAAAACTTCCCAACCAAGCTCGCAATTTTTGATGGGTCATCAAAGAAGTGTGTGGTCGGGCGTTGTCATGATGGAAGACAACATCTTTCCTATTATTCAATTCAGGCTATTTTATTTCAATTGCCTGGCGTAATCTCTCTGGTTGTCCACAATAGTGTTGAGAATCAATCGTCTTACCAAGTGGAACTAGCTCATGGTGGACGATTCCCTTCCAATTCCATCACACACACAGCATCACCTTTTTCGGTATCAATCCTGGCTTCGCGAACGCTTGTGACGGCTCACCATCCCTTGTCCACGATCTTTGACTTCCGATTGTCGTACGTGATCCATGTTTCATCACCGGTTATGACACGTTTCAGAAATGGTTCGGTTTCATTGCGTTTCAGCAGCGCATCGCAGATGTTAATTCGGCCTATCATGTTTTTCGCGCTCAACTCATGAGGAACGCATACATCGAGCTTCTTTTTGTAGCCAGCTTCGTGTAAATGGTTCAAAACAGTTTTGTGGTCAATGCCTAGCTCCATACCAATATCGACACTGCTGATATGCTTATCTTGCTGGACTTTTTCAAGAATTTCATCAGCTTTTTCAGTGATTGGACGACCAGAGCGTGACTCATCTTTCACGTCAAAATTACCAGAACGAAAGCGAGCGAACCATTTCCGCGCAGCAGATTTTAATAAAGTACCTTCACCATACACAGCACAAATTTGTTCACAAGCCTGTGCAGCGTTCTTCCCTTTGTCGTAATAATATTGCAAAATATACCGCGATTTTTCATTACTTTTCTCCATTTTCAAACGCAAACAACTTTCCAACCACTGCACCAATTTCGATGTTTATACATTCAAAATAACGCTCGAAGTGTCACCTTTCCAACGAGCAGAGAAAAGCCTGAGAGCGGGCATGGCTGCATTTACAGCGTTATGGAAAAGTTGGCTGATTCGAACGCCAACTGGGTCCATTTTTCATGGACATGAACTACTAAGCCAATGTCCACGATTTGTTGGTACTATTCCGTGCTATGTCCATAATTATTTGGTTCAGTTCTGCGCTATGTTCACGAGCGAGCTAGATTAGTTAGATAAAAACGAAGAATCTTTGTCTCACCACCAGCGAATAGACAATCGCGACGAAGCGAGCCAGCAGCGATGTTATCGTAAGGTAAACGTCGCCGTCTCCCCTTTCATTCCCTTGTTTTCCTTTACATATTATTTTATATTCATAATTCTGGAAGAAAATAATTTCGAGAGTTCGGACGATTTCTAGCAATGACGCGACAAAGATAACGCGCGGCCACATTAATTTGTCATGACTTTTATATTACTTATAATTACATAAACGCCCATATATGCAAATTATAGATAATTATTGCGCGTATGTTTTAATATTGTACAATATGGTATATAATAACAACAACTTTATTTCTTGCAGTAATTATTTTAAGATCTTCGTTGAGATCGTGAATTAATTTCTTTCTTCATCAATCAGTTTTCTGCAAAAATTAAGATTTTTTAAATAAAATATAAAATGTTTCTCTCCTCTTATCTCCGAAGAGTTAATTAAAAAATATGTACTCCACAGAGTCAACTAACAAATGTGAAGTCAGAAGAGACAATTTAAAAGTGTACTGCGAAAAGTCAATTAAATAGCGTATTCCGAAGAGTCAATTTGAAAGCGTACTCTAAAAAATCAAATTAATATTGTAATCCGAAAAGTCAATTTATAACAGAATATTTACATCGATGATTCAGCTAAAGAAAAAAACATTTATTTATTATTATATTCAGAGAATAATATTTAATTTATTATTTATACTTATCTTACTTATGCTTACCCTACATATGCTTCTTCGAATGAGAAATTTAATTTGTTGACTGATTCAGATTCAGATTT